TTGGGAGAAAATAATAGCAAACGAAGCAACAGACAAAGGATTAATCTCAAAAATATACAAGCAACTCCTCCAGCTCAACTCCAGAAAAATAAATGACCCAATCAAAAAATGGGCCAAAGAACTAAACAGACATTTCTCCAAGGAAGACATACAGATGGCTAACAAACACATGAAAAGATGCTCAACATCACTCATTATCAGAGAAATGCAAATCAAAACCACAATGAGGTACCATTATACGCCAGTCAGGATGGCTGCTATCCAAAAGTCTACAAGCAATAAATGCTGGAGAGGGTGTGGAGAAAAGGGAACCCTCTTACACTGTTGGTGGGAATGCAAATTAGTACAGCCACTATGGAAAACAGTGTGGAGATTTCTTAAAAAGCTGGAAATAGAACTGCCATATGACCCAGCAATCCCACTTCTGGGCATACACACCAAGGAAACCAGATCTGAAAGAGACACGTGCACCCCAATGTTCATCGCAGCACTGTTTATAATAGCCAGGACATGGAAGCAACCCAGATGCCCATCAGCAGACGAATGGATGAGGAAGCTGTGGTACATATACACCATGGAATATTACTCAGCCATTAAAAAGAATTCATTTGAATCAGTTCTAATGAGATGGATGAAACTGGAGCCCATTATACAGAGCGAAGTAAGCCAGAAAGATAAAGACCATTACAGTATACTAACACATATATATGGAATTTAGAAAGATGGTAACGATAACCCTATATGCAAAACAGAAAAAGAGACTCAGATGTATAGAACAGACTTGTGGACTCTGGGAGAAGGCGAGGGTGGGATGTTTCAAGAGAACAGCATTGAAACATGTATATTATCTAGGGTGAAACAGATCACCAGCCCAGGTTGGGTGCATGAGACAAGTGCTCGGGCCTGGTGCACTGGGAAGACCCAGAGGGATCGGGTGGAGAGGGAGGTGGGAGGGGGGACCGGGATGGGGAATACATGTAAATCCATGGCTAATTCATTTCAATGTATGACAAAAACCACTGCAATGTTGTAAAGTAATTAGCCTCCAACTAATAAAAATAAATGAAAATAAATAAATAAATAAATAAAAGATAAAAAAAAATTAAATACATTTTCCAAAAAAAAGTTTCTATGATTTGAAATGAAATATGAAAAGCAAGAGCTTTTCAACAGTTTCTCTAAATGTGCCAAATTAATGATACATCTACATTTTGAAAGCTTGAATTACTAGAAGAAAAATACTTAACTTCATGGGTATTTTTATATTAATAGGTAAAAGCTATAAAAATAATATATAAATATTTTTAATAATACAGCTTTTTATTTTTCTTGTCTTTATTTTAACTGAATTGCTAAAGATTCTATTTCTAAATAGCCATGAGCTGAATATTTGCCCAGCTTGGAATATCTCTTTCTTCAATAATAACAAGCCTTTTGCACTATTGTACACCATTTTGAATTTTATAAATATAAATTTAATGCTAATACTTCTATTATACATTAAAACCTAATTGCTTTTAAGATTTTAATGATAAGGAGGGTCAAAAAGGAGTAAAAAATACCAAGGATTAATGCTTCCGACAAAGAACCCTAATTTCCATTGTGTAACCTTCTCCCTCCTACAGGAAACCTCAATAAATGTAGCAAAGAAAAGTATAACACTTTTGCAAAGTATGCCCAGAATTTTTCCATTTGCTAGCTCAGTGCCACCACCCAGATTTTGATGTGGATTTTACAAGTTCACTTTTCATCATCAATTAATATGTTTTGAATTCATACTGAAAATAGAATGCACTTTATTTTTACATGTTGACTCTTCTCATTGTCTATGGGACTTTAGTTTCCTTACAAAGAAGACATACTGTTCTCAAGGCAAGAGAACCCCCTTTATTTTGGGGGGCTCCAAAATCACTGCAGATGGTGACTGCAGCCATGCAATTAAAAGGTGCTTATTCCTTGAAAGGAAAGTTATGACCAACCTAGATAGCATATTAAAAAGCAGAGACATGACTTTGCCAACAAAGTTCTGTCTAGTCAAAGCTACGGTTTTTCCATTGGTCATGTATGGATGTGAGAGTTGAACTATAAAGAAAGCTGAGTGACAAAGAATTGATGCTTTGGAACTGTGGTGTTGGAGAAGACTCTTGAGAGCCCCTTGGACTCCAAGGAGATCCAACCAGTNACCAGTCCATCCTAAAGGAAATATTTATTGGAAGGACTGATACTGAGGCTGAAACTCCAACACTTTGGCCACCTGATGTGAAGAACTGGCTCATTGGAAAAGACCCTGATGCTGGGAAAGATTGAAGGCAGGAGAAGATGATAGAGGATGAGATGGTTGGATACATCACCAACTCAATGGACATGAGTTTGAGTAAACTTCGGGAGTTGGTGATGGAGAGGTAGGCCTGGCGTGCTGTAGTCCATGGGGTCACAAAGAGTCGGACATTGCTGAGCAACTGAACTTAACTGAACAAAGAAGACAAGTTATTTTTCTTGCCAAGGATATTTTCCTATACTCAGTTCAATTCAGTCACTCAGTCGTGTCTGACTCTCTACAGTTTATGAGGTAGCAAAGAGTCAGACACAACTGAGTGCACATACACAGAGACAAATTCATGTGCTAATAGTAGCATGGAGGGAAAAATTCTTTTAACTACAATTCAGTACAAATGAAATTTAATACTCTTTATGATTGTGTGTGTGTGAGTCGCTCACTCGTGTCCGACTCTTGGCGACCCCATGAATTGTAGCCCGCCAGGCTTCTCTGTCTATGGAATTTTCCAGACAAGAATACTGGAGTGGGTTGCCATTCCCTTCTCCAGAGGAGAAGGGATTGAGCCAACCCAGGGATTGAACCTGGGTCTCCTGCATTGCAGGAAGACTCTGTGGTCTGAGCCACCAGGGAAGCCAATTCAGTACAAATGAAATTTAATGCTCTCTTTACTATGATTATAACTTTCAAATATTTGCACCTCTTTCTGCCTTCAATAAATATTAAAATACAGAAAGAGCGAAACGATGTTGTCAAGTTCCTCTTTTTCCCAAATGAAATCTCCCCCTGCCCCAAATAAGATCCCATGTTCTCATTTTATTTGGAGAAGGGCATGACAACCCACTTCACTATTCTTGCCTGGAGAATCCCATGGACTGGGAAGCCTGGTGGGCTATCGTCCTCAGGTTCTCAAATCAAAGACTCTGACACGACTGAATCAACTTAGCATGCATGCATGATTTTATTAGGCATGTCTGTGTAATTTCTCCTCATAACTACATGAGGAGTTCTACCAGTTCATAACTAAGTTCATAACTACTTATGAAGTTTATCTGTGTTTGATCTTCTTCTTCACTGAGGGTAGGGACATATTTCTCATCTTAAATTTCACCAATCTTCTCCCTTCACTTCCACACTCTCGCTCCTCCTCTGTTCTGGAGAGTGTATAATGCTACCTTTTTCAAGATCTTCATTATTCAAAAGGTGGCATACAAAATGGTTACACAATTGCGGGCTTCTTTTTTTTTTTTAAATTTCTTGTTCGGTTTTTTCTTGCACCATTTTCCAACCCCCTTGTACCCACCACTTGCGTTTTGTTGGTTGGGTGGGAACACTACAGCCTAACACGATTCATTAAGGGCCCTCGGCTGGTTGAATCTCTGAAACTTCAGCAGCCTCTCTACCACTTGAAAGCTAATGCCCTCTCTCTCTCTCTCTCAAGCAGTGTTTCCACCTTTCTGGGACAGAAGTCAGTAACCATATTCCCCATAAGCTTCCTATGAGAAGAGATAAGAGGAGGGAGGTAGAACAGGTTGCCAAATCCACTTAGGCACTCTGCCTAGATTAACCTAACCATTTAAAAGGCGTCAAGTTACCCATGCCAACATTAAAAGTGCTCAGAGTTCTGATGCGAATGAGACCAAGGCAGGCTTTCTCTGACACCCGGGCCACCACAGACGTTCTCCAGAGCATCTGTTATGGATTCTCTAGCTTTCCTTTCCCCTCCTCCATCTTATATTGCTTTTTATTGCCCCTCTCCTTTCCCCAGTTCCCATGTTTTTCTGCCCAACCCTAGCACTACAGGCATCATTCACTGTTGGCTCTTGAATTAAACAGTGTTTGGGCTTCCCAGGTGACACAGTGGTAAAGAATACACCTGTAAATACCAAAGACTTAGGTTCGATCCCTGGGTCGGGAAGATCCGCTGAGGTAAGAAATGGCAACCCACTCCAGCATTCTTGCCTGGAAAATTCCATGGACAGAGGAGCCTCTCGGGCTACAGTCCATAGGGTTGCAAGGAGCCCAGCACAACTCAGGACGCACGCACTTGGTAGCCAGACCTCTTCTTGTGCCCACCAAAGCATCCATGCCTGGGTTCCTTAAAGTGTAAAATTCTCGCGCTTCCAAGTCACCTCCTAAGCGCTTCACAGGGCCACGCAGCTAAAGGGAACCAACAACTGACAAGGTGAAGCTGAGGCTCAGATAGACGACCTGACAGCATCACACCAGAATGTAACTCTCAGGAGGGGAAATGGCTAGAAGACGTGAGAAAGCTGGGAGGTAGAAAGATGCCCAACCTAAGCAAACTCAGTCGCGCAAGCGCATGGCTTGCAGCGCGTCTCCCGTGGCCTCATCACAGCGCCTGCGCACAGGATCCCTGGAGCGGCGGGGAAGGGAGAGGAGCTGTCGGGCCTAGAGCTCCCACTGCCTCAGCAACCTCAGCTGCAAGCCCCGCCTCCTTCAGCTGCTCGCCTTCCCAAACAAGCGGGTGCGGCCTAGCGCTCTCCGTCTATTGGCCTTTGGCCTTTTCCGTTTCCTCCCAGCCCTCCAGAGCTCACCAATCAGCTTGTGCGTTTGAGTAAGTGGCCACCTCCTAGGCAGCCGCTCTGACTCCTCTGCCTCCTCCCGCTGCTGCCTCCGCTGCTGCCTCCTCCTTCCCCACCTCCTCCGTCAGGCGGGCGTCTGCGGGGGCCCGAGGGGCGGCGGCGGCGGCGGCAGCAGCGATATGGAGCCGGGGCCCGGCGGCCGAAGCGCTGCTCGCGGGCACGGGGCCGGACCCGCGAGCACTCCACCGCCTAGGGAGCAGGAGCGGAAGCTGGAGCAGGAGAAGCTCTCCGGGGTGGTAAAGAGCGTCCACCGGCGGCTCCGCAAGAAGTACCGGGAAGGTAAACACCGAATGGAGCGGGGGGAAGGGGAGGCGTCGTCGCCCCCGGCCCCTTGTCAACCTCTCCCCTCCCCCAAGGGGCCACCATTACAACCTGGAGGAGCTGCACGTCAGCCCCTGCCAGGGCCGCTCTCCCAGGCCAGGACGCCCCCTTCTCGGTCGAGTCCTCGGTCCGGCTTCAGGCGCCCTCCTCCCGCCCCCTTTTCTTCGAGGGCCCTTCAGGAGAGTTCCAGGCCTGTGGAGGAGCCGAGTCCCCACCTCCCCCATCCCCTGTCCCCAGCCTGGGTGCTGAGATTGTTGTCACCACACACACAAGCACCCAGACCCTCACACAGGAGGTGGAGGTCGATCGTTACGAGAGACCTGCAGCTCAAACACGAAGTCAGGTAGAAATCCATTCGAGAAAGATGGACTGGAAGAAGCGCGAAGTGACCACCCTGCGCTTTGATCAGCCTGTTTGATTTGTTGCCGCGTTTGACCCCCTTCTTACTACCTCATTCCTGCGGGTTTAGCCCGGGCCTGAGCTTCCTCGCATTGGCTTCTAGGGCTGCGAAGTCAGCAGGCCTTTTAGCTGACTGGACTTCACCTTGTTAAAAGGGGGAGGGGCTCCATCCTTGCCACCCCCCGTCTCCCCCTCCCGTTCTTTAAATGCTGAATCTTAGTGTTTATTTAGGCGGGAGAGAGAGAGATCTGGGGCAGATTCTCAAAATATTCTTTAGATATGAATAGTATGCAACTACTAAGCCTCCTAAGGGTACCCCGCGAAACAGGCCATCGCTGGGAACCCCTCTTATGGAAGATCTTGAGCAAAAGAGAAGCCACAGTAGCTTTTGCTTAGGCCTGAGAAGTGTTTATAGTTGGGATCTACAGTTATACTTGGTGTTTTAAAATACAGGCTTTTTTAAACAGAGCTATTTTATAAGAAACTGACAGTAAAAATCCCCAGTTTTTTCCTGTGCTCAGGAGACATTTCTTCTACAGATCAAAACGATCTTTTTACTTTCTTCTGGCTTTAGCTTAATTGCATATTAAGAAGTTGGCAGTCCTGTAGTGGTTGTCTTATACTTGGTTAAGCTTGGATCAGAAGCAAAATTATGACAGTGGGAAGGAACAGATAGCTAAGATAATGTTACTTTTGAGTTACAAACACTTTTCAGTTACTCTGGAAGAGTAAAACTAAGTGTCTTTTGTTCTTTTGAATGTAGGTGAAGTGTTTCATTTTTCAAACTTTTAAGTTTTTTTCCCCTTGACAACTCAAGGCTCGATTTTTAAATAGCTACTTAAATAGTAATCCTAAAAAATAGCCTATAGTTATTGTTTAATAGTTAGCAATAGAGACTTATCAGGCATTTTGAGACATTGAAATTTGCTTTTAAAAGAATGCTTTAACCCCAATGCACAATTTATTCAATAAAATGAGTAGTTACCATAGCAACGATTGCATCATTCTTGATATTCAGAGAATGCACTTACATAATGGCATTCAGTAGGTTCTTGTGTTGTTTGGAAAAATGAAGAAATAAATGGACACACTTTATCGTGTATTTTGTACAGACTTAAGCAAGTACCTCTTTTTAAAGAAAAAAATGAATAGCATATAATTCATTTTCCATTTTTACCTTTTTATAATAATTTGATTATCCATTGTTAATTCATTCAAAAATTAGGTTCTACTAAATATACTACCATTGTGTCATCGTGTCTTCAGAAAGTGCTGTTTATTCTTTCTTCGTTCCTGCACGTTGAAGCATGTGTCTAAGCCTGAATATTAACCAAGGGAATGCTTGTTCATAACGAGAATTAGTATTTGGAAGTTACCAGAGCTAGGATAGATACATGTAGTTCGTAAGTGAATGATACAGTTTGCTTTAGGGCAGGTAAAGTCCTGGCAGTCTGTAAGCATATGAATGAGACTGTTCTTTAGGTGTTTTAATGCCCTGAATTCCACCAATGATCTAGACTTCTCTGGGTTTTAATGATATACAAAGCCCCATCAGTGAACTAGCAAAGTAAAAGATCCTAAAAAGCATGCCCTTTCTATCTTTATTTCTGACATGTAGGTCAAGACTTGTGATTTGACAAAAATCTGTGAAAAAGCCACCTGAAAAAGTCTGATTTTTCACATAATAATACCAAAGAATTAGTGCTTTACTAATTTAGTGCTTTACTCATTTAGTGCTTTACTTTGAGGTCTTACTGTCATTATAGTGTCATTTGCAGGTCTTCTCTGGTTATAAAATAATAATACAAATGGTGCTGGGTCAGGTTACAAAGGCCTATTTAATCAGTAACATGCCTGTACTGTAATACCAATAATTATGGAAACTGTTCTCCTTTTATAACAATATTCTTATCAGAAAATACAATGAAAATTCCAGCATAGAATCTTTGAATGTTAAACTAGAAGGAACTTTGGTGATTCCCAAACATGAATAAACAGTAGACTCATATGTGTGCCTTTTAGAAAATAATACTCTATTCCACCTCAGATATACAGTTTCAGAACCCCTGTCAATGGGGCTTGGAAATTTGTCAGCCAGATTTTCAAGTGATAATCTAAATGACCTCCTTCGTTTTTACACATGAGTGAGCTGAGTCCTAAAAATAGTAAAATAACTTGCTTGAAGTTTGGATAGTTCATCATTAGTACCAAACATATTTTATGAGATTTCAACAGATTTTATGAGATGATTGTTCTTTTTTTTTTCCCCCAGTTCAAAGCCTAATGGTGTCTCCAAATGTTCTTGGAGTGGGAGGAAAAATGAGAAGCAGGAAGTAGCCCTAGAATTTGTGTTGGGTAAAAGGATGTAAATTGATGAGAATGGGGCAGTCCATGGGATGATAGGTGTGATTTGCTGAGTTAGAGCTATGTGAAGCGTGGGTTTCCTCTGGAGTGACAGCACAGAAGAAAATAAATTGGGGTAGAATGAAGGAAGAGGCAAAACATTCACTAGATAGTGAAAGACAGGAGTGAGTCCTGCATAATGAGTGTAGTGTTGGATAATCAAGTTCTCCCTTTCCTTCTCTTTGATAGTGGGATTGAAAATGAAGCAAGAATAAGATTGAAAATAAAATTAGTAGAAAAAAGTTTCTCTCCACCTTTCCCAGTGCATTTGTCCAAACTGATGCTTGTTGTGGCAATGAGCAGGCTTGGGGTAGGGGGTAGTGGATAAAATTGTGAAGACTAGCAGTTAAGTTTAATGCACTCTTTTCTTTTAACACTTTTCCCCTTTTTACTCCATTTTACTGCCTGTCCTCTGTCAGCACTTAAAGATCCTTTGCCTCTTTGTAGAAGAGTAAAGTGAGAGTTGGAGATAAAGGTCAGTGTTCCAGGCAGTGCTGATATCTGAAGTAGTTACCAAAAGGAAATGGTCAGGAAATGTTTAGCAGTGGAGATGAGAAGGAGTGTTTCTAGTGTCAGTCATTTATAGATAAAGGATTGAGTTTATATAAATGGAAACCTTTATTTTTTTAACCTATTTTGTGGATGTCTTTAGCAGTTTTCATAAATTTAATTGTTTCTGAATTTACTTTTTCTGCATGCCAAAACAGGTTAGAACAGTTTGTCACATAGACCGGTGCAGGTTATCAATCAGAAAAAAATTAAAATGCATGTTAACCTGTTAACAATGATATTCTCAAAGCATAGGTTAATGGTTGATCTTTATTATACTTTCCTACATTTAAAAAAATCAGTGTTACTAGTAGCAGTGATAATATTTTAAAAGTAGTTAGAATAAATAGGATAGGTTACTGATACTGAAACAGAAGAGAAGAACACAGAATAAGTTGATTTTGTAGACTAAGTCAGGAAAAAAATTGTGTTACAAAGGTTAACAGCTGTGAGCAGCATTTTAAGAGTCAGCTGCTAAGTAGCCTAGTTTAGATGTTTAATTCTTATTGATTATTCAAATTATTCTTGTTTAAGACAAAGGGTGCTGCAATAGCAGTTTAGGCTATGCTGCTCATTTGTGATTGATTTTTCCTTAGCATACAGCTAAAACATGAGAATTGTAGGGGGAAGGGAAAAACCTTTGAATTAGAAATAATTTTAAAACTAAAATCAAAACGTCTAAAAGTGAAAGAATAAATGTATTGTTAGCATTTTTTCATGAAACAAAGTTTTGAAATTACTTTTAAAATTAGAATAATAGACTGTGTGTTTTTAGTTGAAATTTCCTAATTTTTTTCTCTTTTGGGAGCTTTCAATACTACTTTAAATTACTGACCAACTCTTTGACCCCAAGACACTTTAACAGATTCCCTTTTACTTTTTTTTTTTTTAATCAAGTGACGTTTAACTTTTTTTCTTTACATGTTCTTTTCTGATTCTGATACAAAATATGAAAGCATTGTTTTTTTGTGATGGAATCTTTGCTCAATCACCAAATGAGTAAGTTGAAAACTGTCCACAGAAAGGAGAGTCTCCTAGTTGCGCTAGGAGAGTTTGAACTGCATTTCTAGCAGGGAAAGAAAAATGAAAAAAATGTAATAATCAGTAACACTGGAAGATAAAGGGAACATGAATAAACTCAGTGAGGGACACATAGTAACTATTTGATTTTGTTATTTTTAGTCACCTTGTAGTAGGTATCTTTTTAGGAAATTTTTACATTTTAAAAGATACAGTAAAAATCAAGAGTATTGGTATAGATCCTTTGATTTTTGGGGGAAAAAATATAACAACAAATGCAGTGGATATCAACCTTGATTCCACATTAGTTTCGTCTGTGGAACTTCGTGGAGCACAGGCATCTGTATTATTTTAAAACTGTAGATTATACAGTGGGCAAAGGAGTTGAAGAACACCTAGCTAAAGTACAATAGATTGAAGTGGGAATGAGTCTAGATGAAAGTAAATCAGCTAGGAGATTCTTACACCAGTCTATTTTTTAAAGGTTAATAATAGTAGAAGTAAAAGTAGTGTTCATGAAAATAGAGAAAGATAAGTCAAATACTTTTTGAAAGTCAGAGTGAACAGTTTTAGTGAAAGTAAAGGGA